GGTTTAATCAATAGAGTAAGAGATAAGAGCTTCTAAAGTAAACACACTGTGCTCTAAAACCAGGAGGCATTGAAATGCGCGTCTGACCTTTTTTTTTTTTATTGTGTGTGACAATGGGGTTACATTGACAGTACGAGTAGTTGTGCGAGTAATGACAGTCTAGTCGTTTCGGCTCCTCTATGCTTTTAGTGTTTGTTTATGGTTACCTTAGTGGGGAGTTCAGTGGCCGTGTAATAGGTGTAGGTAGTTTTACACGCAGCTAAAGGGAATGTGTGACATAGAGTTAATAGATAGCATTCAAACCAATATCACAATAGTAATAGGCGCTCCATAAAAAGAAACCATGAATAAAGCAAAATAAACTCTCATTCGTGTGAGTGCAGCCATGTGTATATATAAAGCAAACAGTGCGATAATGAACCGAGGGAATGAATGGTGTGTGTATATAATGTATAGATAGAGAGTAACGTGGAATGGTGTGTGTATAATATATAGAGAGTAACGTGGAATGGTGGGTGTATAATATATAGAGAGTAACGTGGAATGGTGGGTGTGTATAATATATAGAGAGTAACGTGGAATGGTGTGTGTGTGTGTGTGTGTATAATGTATAGATAGAGAGTAACGTGGAATGGTGTGTGTGTATATAATGTATAGATAGAGAGTAACGTGGAATGGTGTGTGTATAATATATAGAGAGTAACGTGGGAATGGTGTGTGTGTATATAATGTATAGATAGAGAGTAACGTGGAATGGTGTGTGTATAATATATAGAGAGTAACGTGGAATGGTGTGTGTATAATATATAGAGAGTAACGTGGAATGGTGTGTATATAATGTATAGATAGAGAGTAACGTGGGAACGGTGTGTATATAATGTATAGATAGAGAGTAACGTGGGAACGGTGTGTATATAATATATAGATAGAGAGTAACGTGGGAATGGTGTGTATATAATAGAGAGTAATGTGGGAATGGTGTGTATATAGATAGAGAGTAACGTGGGAACGGTGTGTATATAATATATAGATAGAGAGTAATGTGGGAATGGTGTGTATATAATAGAGAGTAACGTGGGAATGGTGTGTATATAATGTATAGATAAAGAGTAACGTGGGAATGGTGTGTATATAATAGAGAGTAATGTGGGAATGGTGTGTATATAGATAGAGAGTAACGTGGGAACGGTGTGTATATAATATATAGATAGAGAGTAATGTGGGAATGGTGTGTATATAATAGAGAGTAACGTGGGAATGGTGTGTATATAATGTATAGATAAAGAGTAACGTGGGAATGGTGTGTATATAATAGAGAGAAATGTGGGAATGGTGTGTATATAGATAGAGAGTAACGTGGGAACGGTGTGTATATAATATATATATATATATATATATATATATAGAGAGAGAGAGAGTAACGTGGGAATGGTGTGTGTATATAATATATATATATATATATATAGAGAGAGAGAGTGTAACGTGGGAATGGTGTGTATATAATGTATAGATAGAGAGTAACGTGGGAATGGTGTGTATATAATGTATAGATAGAGTAACGTGGGAATGGTGTGTGTATAATAAATAGATAGAGAGTAACGTGGGAATGGTGTGTATATAATGTATAGATAGAGTAACGTGGGAATGGTGTGTATATAATATATAGATAGAGAGTAACGTGGGAATGGTGTGTATATAATAGAGTAATGTGGGAATGGTGTGTATATAGATAGAGAGTAACGTGGGAACGGTGTGTATATAATATATATAGAGAGAGTAACGTGGGAATGGTGTGTGTGTATATAATATATATAGAGAGAGAGAGTAACGTGGGAATGGTGTGTATATAATGTATAGATAGAGAGTAACGTGGGAATGGTGTGTGTATATAATATATATATAGAGAGAGAGAGTGTAACGTGGGAATGGTGTGTATATAATGTATAGATAGAGAGTAATATATAGAGAGTAACGTGGGAATGGTGTGTGTATATAATATATATATATATAGAGAGAGAGAGTGTAACGTGGGAATGGTGTGTATATAATGTATAGATAGAGAGTAACGTGGGAATGGTGTGTGTATATAATATATAGAGAGTAACGCGGGAATGGTGTATATAATATATAGAGAGTAATCGGGACGGTGTGTGTATATAATATATATAAGGCAGAGAGAGCACGGAACAGTGTGTATATAATGTATAGATAGAGAGTAACGGGAATGGTGTGTGTATATAATATATATATATAGAGAGAGAGAGTAACGGAAATAAAAAAGTATAATGCATAGATAGAGAGTAATATATGAGAGTAACGTGGAATGGTGTGTATATATATATATATAGAGAGAGAGAGTGTAACGTGGGAATGGTGTGTATATAATGTATAGATAGAGAGTAACGTGGGAATGGTGTGTATATAATGTATAGAGAGTAACGTGGGAATGGTGTGTATATAATATATAGAGAGTAACGTGGGAATGGTGTGTGTATATAATATATATATATAGAGAGAGAGAGAGTGTAACGTGGGAATGGTGTGTATATAATGTATAGATAGAGAGTAACGTGGGAATGGTGTGTATATAATATATAGAGAGTAACGTGGGAATGGTGTGTGTATAATAAATAGATAGAGAGTAACGTGGAATGGTGTGTATATAATATGTAGATATAGAGTAACGTGGGAATGGTGTGTATATAATGTATAGATAGAGTAACGTGGGAATGGTGTGTATATAATATATAGATAGAGAGTAACGTGGGAATGGTGTGTATATAATAGAGTAATGTGGGAATGGTGTGTATATAGATAGAGAGTAACGTGGGAACGGTGTGTATATAATATATATAGAGAGAGTAACGTGGGAATGGTGTGTGTGTATATAATATATATAGAGAGAGAGAGTAACGTGGGAATGGTGTGTATATAATGTATAGATAGAGAGTAACGTGGGAATGGTGTGTATATAATGTATAGATAGAGTAACGTGGGAATGGTGTGTGTGTATAATAAATAGATAGAGAGTAACGTGGAATGGTGTGTATATAATATGTAGATAGAGAGTAACGTGGGAATGGTGTGTGTATATAATGTATAGATAGAGTAACGTGGGAATGGTGTGTATATAATATATAGAGAGTAACGTGGGAATGGTGTGTATATAATATATAGAGAGTAACGTGGGAACGGTGTGTATATAATATATAGATAGAGAGTAACGTGGGAATGGTGTGTATATAATAGAGAGTAATGTGGGAATGGTGTGTATATAGATAGAGAGTAACGTGGGAACGGTGTGTATATAATATATATATATATATATATATATATATATATATATATATATATATATATATATATATATATATATAGAGAGAGAGAGAGTAACGTGGGAATGGTGTGTATATAATGTATAGATAGAGAGCAACGTGGGAATGGTGTGTGTATAATATATAGATAGAGTAACGTGGGAACGGTGTGTATATAATAGAGAGTAATGTGGGAATGGTGTGTATATTTATAGAGAGTAACGTGGGAACGGTGTGTATATAATATATAGATAGAGAGTAACGTGGGAACGGTGTGTATATAATATATAGATAGAGAGTAACGTGGGAACGGTGTGTATATAATGTATAGATAGAGAGTAACGTGGGAACGGTGTGTATATAATATATATATATATAGAGAGAGAGAGTGTAACGTGGGAATGGTGTGTATATAATGTATAGATAGAGAGCAACGTGGGAATGGTGTGCGTATAATATATAGATAGAGTAACGTGGGAACGGTGTGTATATAATAGAGAGTAATGTGGGAATGGTGTGTATATTGATAGAGAGTAACGTGGGAACGGTGTGTATATAATGTATAGATAAAGAGTAACGTGGGAATGGTGTGTATAGTGGCAGCAGCAATGTGAATGGAGTCTGCTTATTGGATAATAATGTTTTTTTTTTATTTTATTTTTTTTAAACAGGGGCTGGGTTTTAGTAGAGGGGGGGAGCTGGGGTTTAGTAGAGGGGGGAGAGCTGGGGTTTAGTAGAGGGGGGGACTGGGATTTAGTATAGAGGGGGGGACTAAGTTTGTGTATAGAGGGGGGGACTTGGATTTAGGCACGGGGACTTGGATTTAGTACAGAGGCGGGACTGGGATTTAGTACAGGGGAGACTGGAATTTATAAATGGGGGACTGGGATTTAGTATAGAGGGGGGGGACTGGGATTTAGTACAGAGGTGGACTGGGATTTAGTACAGAGGGGGATTTAGTCTTGTTGGGCCCAGGCCCCTCACTGGGGCCTGTAGTCTCTGTATTAATAGTCCCTCTGTACTGGGATTTAGTACAGAGGGGGGGACTGGGATTTAGTATAGAGGGGGGACACTGGGATTTAATATAGAGGGGGGACACTGGGATTTAAGAGAGGGGGACACTGGGATTTAGTACACAGAGGGGGGACACTGATTTAGTACAGAGGGGGGGACTGGGTGATTTAGTACACGAGGGGGACACTGATTTAGTACAGAGGGGGGACTGGGATTTAGTAAAGGGGGAGACTGGAATTTAGTAAAGGGGGGGCTTCGATTTAGTACAGAGGGGTGACTGGGATTTAGTATAGAGGGGGGGGGACTGGGATTTAGTATAGAGGGGGGACACTGGGATTTAGTACAGAGGGGGAGTGGGATTTAGCTCAGGGGGTGGACTGGGATTTAGTATGGGGGGGGACTGGGCTTTAGTAGAGGGGCATGCTGTACCCCGACTGGGTACCTCCGTTGAAGGATGCTCCTAGCGCTTCCTGAGGACTCCAAGCACTGCAGCAGATGCCACAACCACCGAACCGTAGAAGCATACAAATGCTTTCAAGCATATGAATGCTGTAAACAACTGAACAGGAAAAGCATACAATCAGCTTACACTCCTGGCAATCAGCATACAATCCAATCCCCCCAATAACGAGACGACACTTCGTTTTGAGGTCAAGCAGAACTGACTGTACTGGCACATACAGCCTCTTTTATTCACAATCCACAAACATAGTACAGCCCACAGGGTTTTGAAATACAATCAATCCGTACAATACACACAGACACTCCCACACAAAATCCTCCACTCTGCCTGTGATATGATTACTGAACACAATGGTTAATATAATTATCACAGGCAGAGAAATACAGTATTATAAAACATATCACAGGGACCCCAAAACATGCAACAACCCTACAAAGTATAAAAGTACCCCATAAGTATACCCTCGGAACGGGGGGGTCTGTGTGAACCACATATCCAAAATTCACCCAGATCCGTTCAGTAGTTTGGAAGATACGGTTTAATGCAGATTCCGCAGAACATATACAGGCTATGTGAAAAACAATTACTGTATAATGTGTCCCCTGTTCTGTAGTTTAAAACTACTGCATGATGTCTTTGTGCACCAAATACCGGCAAGATGGCACTGTGTAGAAAAGTCCAAACAGTGTCTGTGAGTTAAATGGCCGCCATCCATTGTTCTCACCATAGATAAAGCGTAATATGCGATTGGTGTGTATATAATATATAGGTAAAGCGTAATATGCGATTGGTGTGTATATACGGTAATATATAGATAAA